TGTGATTCTCGCCGAGAGCAAACACGGGCAGAGCAGGAAATCCACACGGCCGTGCGACCCTGGCCGTGTGGGAAGCCTGAAGTGCAACTAATCCATACGCCGCGTTTTGACTCACACGGGCAACTGGGTGAGCCACACGGCCGTGTGGCCTGCCCATGTGAGTCGGGAAATCTTGGTTTTTCAGCCAATTTCGAGCCAAAAGTGGGAGAATCGGATTTTCAGTGCAAAAACAGAGCCCTAGAGAGAGAAAGTGCGAAGAACACATCCTAGAAGCTATCTTGGAGCTGGGTTTCGTCAAATCGAGCTTGGAGATCGTCATAGGAGTGGAAATCATCAATCCAGAGCAGATTTTCCTCATCTTTATGAGTATGACTACTCTGATTACTGTTTTCTTCTCTCTCTCTATGGAGTAGAACCCTTCTCTCACTTGGGTATGAAGAACCCTAGTTCCTTGTGTTAGGGATTTGATTGTAATGACTTCGGATGATTATACTGTTTGGTTTTAATCGAATGATGCATGTTTATTGAATTGATTGAAGTCTGATCAGCTTTTCTCGATTTCTGCTGCAACCTGAGATAGATAGAATCTGATTAGGTTGTTAGAGCCTCTTCATTCGATAGTAGGAGATTGGTTATACGAGAGTTAGCCAGTTTACTGCTTTGTACTGGAATTCAATTCCAGTAGTGGAGTTCTGTGTTCATAGCCTCAGCTTTCTATCCCGGTGAAGACTAGTCGTCTGCCGGGTAGTTAGATTGAGAGGGCTTGGTCAGCTTAAGAGATTCCAAGCTACTGTCGGATCTTCCGCAGTCTAATCAACAGTGAATCAACCCAGGGTAATTACAATTGAACCTGATTAAGGAGCTAGGGGGACTCATTCCCGAGTGACTCTTTCCTGCTTTTGAAAACCGAACCATTTCCTGCTTTCTTACTGCTTTTGCTTTAAACAACAATCACTCGACTTAGTTGGCTAGATAATACATAATCACGGAGTAAGCAGTAGATCTAGACCCCGGGTTGATAATAGAACTTGCCTGTTACTGCATTCCCGGACTGCGATTACACTTGGTCGCAGTTTGGTGTTGTGTTTTGGCGTGTCACTGCCTCTGGTACTTCTACCTCCTCTTCAGGGGTCTCCAAGATTGAGCTCACCAAGATCATTCAGGCTGCTCTTCATGAGGTCATGACCTCTGCCTTCTCGGCAGGTTCTAGTACAGGTAATCTTCGTCGTTGGCTTATTGATTCTGCTGCTTATAATCATATGACTAACAATGCTGGGTCTTTTACTTCTATTACACCCGCGTCTCAACGGTTACAAGTTGCGAGTGGAGATCTTCTTCCGGTTACAGGCATTGGTCATGTGCAGGAGCCTCGACTTTGTCTCACTAATACTCTTCATGTTCCACGTTTGGTGCCGAATTTGATATTCGTTGGGCAGTTGGCTGAAGAAGGATGTGAAATTCGGTTTAATAATAGTGGTTGTCTGGTGCAGGACTTGATGACGGGGAGGGAGCTGGGCCGGGGGCATAAATCTGGTTGTGTGTATATCATGGATAGTCTTTCTTCCTTGGGGTCACGTACTTGCAGCCGTTTGGGGGTGAGGCAAGGCGCAACTACGGGAGCTTGTGCGGTTACCCAGGACACAAATGGCATTCATGATCCTGCTGTTTTTTCAATTCTTGCTAGAGATTCTATGATTTCTGATAGTCGACATTCTGTTTGGGATTTGTGGCACTGCCGTTTGGGGCATCCAAATTCAGTTCGGTTATTACAGATGTTTAAACAAAATTTGTTGCCTGGTAAATTTCATGCTAGCTCATTTATTCCCCCATCCTGCATCAGCTGTGTTGAGCTAAAGCATCGCAACGCCCATTTGCTTCTAGCACTACTGTTTATGATGCTCCCTTTGATCTTGTTCATACTGATCTCTGGGGTCCGTCCCCAGTCCCTTCTCGAAATGGTTTCCTGTACTTTGCGTTGTTTATCGATCATCATACACGGTATACATGGATTTATTTCATGCATAACAAGTCCGACCTCATTACTCATGCCAAGGACTTTATACGTATGATTCAGACACAGTTTCAGAAAACTATCAAAGTACTGCGCTCCGATCCTGGTGGGGAATTTAGCACTAACGACCTCCTTGCATTCTATCGTTCTCAAGGAACTCTGAGTCAGCAGTCTTGTCCTGGGTTTCTCAGCAGAATGGTGTGGTTGAAAGGAATAACCGGCATGTTGTTGAGCTAACCAGATCACTTCTCCTGCGTTCAGGTGTTCCTGCTCGCTTCTGGGTCGAAGCTGATAATACGGTTGTTCATCTTATTAATCGGTAGATTACTCCGGTGTTGGATAATTTGTCTCCTTTTCATAAACTATATTCTAGACCTCCCGACTACGGCGCCCTTCGTGTATTTGGATGTTTGTGCTTTGTTCTCTGGCCCAAGCGGGAGCGTCACAAGCTGGCTCCAAAGGCTCAGAGATGTGTTTTCGTGGGATATAGTGATCGCCACAAAGGATATATATGTTATGATCCTGAAAATCAACGACTCTGCATTGCGTATCATGTTGTTTTTATGGAACACATAATGTATTATTCTCATCCTAGTCCTAGTTCTCGAGAGGAGTTCAAGAAGAGCTTTTTCTTTTTGGACACTCTTCTAATTGACGATCTAACACGGGGAGGGGAATCTTTGCATGACGAGCCTCATGGCCCTGATGTTGACCCTTCAATAGATGCGTCCTCAGCTGGGGAGTTTTCCCAGTCCACCTCGTCTTCCCCTTCCCATGCATCGTCGTCAACTTCATCTTCGGGGTCTTCAACGTCCAGCTCCTTTTCTTTGTCGGATGATTCTTCTGGTAATGATGATGATGGGAAGGATAATAATGTTCTAGTGCTACCTCGTCGTTCCAACAGAGTAACGAAAGGCCAACCCCCTATCCGCTATGAAGATTTTGTTGGCTATGCGACTAGTTCTATTACTATTCCTTCAAACTACCGCCAGGCACTCGGTGGCTAAAATGCAGACTGTACGGTGTGTTCTAGCTATAGCTGCGATGCGTAATTGGCCTTTGGTCCAATTAGACGTCAAGAACGCCTTCTTACATGGAGATCTAAAGGAGACTATATACATGGCCTGTCTGCCAGGGTATTCGAAAGGTGGTCCTGGTAAAGTTTGTCCTCTAAAGCGTTCTCTATATGGTCTTAAACAAGCTCCTAGGGTGTGGTTTGAGAAGTTCCATAGCACTGTTACTCAAGCTGGTTTTGTCCAGAGTCAGAATGATCTGTCACATTTCTTGAGGACTACTTCCCGGGGTATTACAATCTTGCTCTTGTATGTGGACGATATGATTATTTCTGGTGATGATCAAGCTGGTATTCGCTCTCTTACTGCAGTCCTTCATCTCAAGCCTTCAAACTCAAGGAGTTGGATGATGTTTCTTACTTCCTCGGTCTGGAAATCGAGCATAGTGATCGAGGTCTCTTTGTGAGTCAAAAGAAGTATGCTTGTGATCTCTTAGCCGAATATCAGTTTGAACATTGCAAGCCTTATGCAACACCTATGGAGCAGAATTTGAAGCTCAGCCAGACTAGTGGTGATCTCCTGGATGATCAAACTTATTATAGAACTGTGGTTGGAAGTTTGCGGTACCTCAGTTCGACGCGGCCTGATATAGCATATGCAGTACAGGTTGTGAGTCAATTCATGGGTATGGCGAGAACCCTTCCCTTAGATGCTGTACACAGAATTCTGCGTTACCTACAGGGATCGCAGGATGTGGGTTTGTTCTTTCCCAGCAGCGGGGATCCCACTCGCAGATCCACTTCTGGTTGGTGTGTCAGACTTTGCTGGTTGTGTTGATACTCGCAGATCCACTTCTGGTTGGTGTGTCAGATTCGGGTCCTCATTTGTGTCATGGAGATGCAAGAAGCAAGAGAGAGTGTCCAAGTCGTCTACTGAAGCTGAATATCGCTCTATGTCTGAAGTCAGTTCAGAACTTGTATGGTTGCAGAGATTGTTGCGTGACTTGGGCGTGACTTGTGCACAACCCATGAGGTTGTTTGGGGACAACACCAGTATGATCCGGATCACCACTAATCCAGTGTTGCATGATAGAACAAAGCACATAGAAATTCATGTCCACTATATACGTCAGTTGGTCGCAGAAGGCGTCATTCAGCTTAGTTACTTGTCAACAGAGGATCAAACTGCAGATTTGTTGACAAAGGCGGTCGGAACTAGTCGTCATTGGTTTTTATCTAACAAATTGATGTTACGAAAGCACCATCAATTTGAGGGAGGGTGTTGAAAATGATGACTATTTAGAGTTTAGGTAGCTTATGGTAAATTGCCTTGATTACGTAGCTAACCTAGACGACTAGGGTTCCTTGTAGCCCAACCGCCTATATATATTATGTTTGTAACTTGTACTCGGTAACTAAGACGAATAAGATTGACTCTGGAGAGTTATACCTCTCCTGTGGACTAGTCCTGAATATCAGGGATACCACGTAAAATCATGTGTTCGATTTATTCTTTTGCTCTTCTTATCAGCAGCCACCTTCTCAGTTGTTTGCTATTGCTGTCGTGACACAACCGCATCATCATCGCTCCACTAAAACACTCTCTCTCGATCGCATCGCTTGCAGTGTTTGCAGTGTTTGTGGATTGGATTTGGTCAAAACAAATCATTTGTAACCAAATATTGTGCGCCATTTTTTTCCTGCTTGGCGGGGCCGGCTTGTCTGCTTCTTGTTTCTCTAAATTCAAATTGAAAATAAAGTTTAAAATTTGGCAAAGCAAATCATTGGACCCTTTGGGAGTGCTTTTGCTTTCCTAGCTTACCTGCCTAAGAGGAGAAAGAAAGAAAGAAAGAAAGAAGCAAAGATCTGTGCGGCTTTTTTCTCTGGATGGCGGGGCCAGCTTCTCACCAAAACCTGACCATTTTCACCTAACGCCATTGATAAAAGGAGGGTCGTCGGGGGGAAGAATTCAAGGAAAAGAAAAAAAGCCCATATCCACAGTTGTCTAGATCTCTCTGCAGTGATGGAAGACGACAAGTATTTCTCATTTGCAGAGTTGGACTTGGCGGCGGCAACTACGAGCACCGGATATTTGGAAGATGCTCTGTTTTCCAAACGGAGGCGCTTACTGATTAATCCTCACCATCAGCAACCTCATGATCAGTCTCGGAGCCACTGCTACGGTTACGAGTGGGAGAAGTCGGCACAGAATTTCCACGTTATAAGTCCAGAGGTTGAGCTCCTTGGAGAAATCTTCTCAGCGTCATCGGCAGCATCCACTGAACCTGATGCAGAGTACTATTCATCCTCGTCCTCCGGCCGTGCCAAATCTGTCTCTTCCGCCGTCGATGACGGAGATCAGTATCACTCGTGCAATTCAGGGCCGACGGCGACTCACCAGCTTCTGCATCATCCGCATTTTGCCTGTAAGTATAAGTGATAAGCTCCAGCTTCTGTACTCTTTATCATTTTGTATAATTCGATTTGTATGCACCATTCTCTGAGTCTTTGTGACAAAAACTAACCCGAATTTTAGAGAATCGTCTACACATTCAAATGTTTGGGAAATTAAAAATGGGTTGGATGGAAGGTTTGACCATTGTACATCTTGATGTGATTTATCAATTAGGACTTGCACGATCATATACGTGTCAATAATGTGGTAATCTCATAAATACCATGATCATATTCTGTCTCATTTTTTTTTAAGATTTTGAAACTTATCATAATTTTCTTCTCTTTTTGGTCGATATTCGATAATATTTCTCTCTTTTTTTTGTTTATAATCTAATAGTTATAACTTAAGGGTCTGATGTAATATTTATGTGATTCTCAAACTGAACCAAAATAAAAAAAAATTGAGATCTAGAATCGGACCCGGTGTATGTTTGGTTCATTTGGTTTGACTCTGTTCGGTCCAAATTCGATTTCGTTCCATTTTTCCTTCAAACTTAATTAAGATAATTTCTAAGATTTAAATCAAATTTAAATATATTCGATCAATTCAATACAATCCAAATATTGATTCAGTACAACTCAATCCAGTACCAGTACAGATAGGATCGTTGTACCCCTACTCGGTTGACCTTAATTGTAATAGTTAAATATGACCCCTTTTCTTCCAAAAATTAAAATAAAAACCCACTCCTGTATTATTTAAAAATTGAGATAATTTTCCTAAGGCCTGTTCCAAATTCAAACTTCAGTTCATCTAAACGAATTTTCGGATATGCCCCATTTTTACCCTTTTCCTGATCAAATATGCCAAAATATGTACATGCAGGGGTAGGCAGGGGAATTGAGATTAAGGAGGAGGAAAATGCTGACGAGGACAGAAATCAGCAAAAGATAGTAACACTACCAAGTACAGGCGGCGGCGGCGGTAGGAGAAGGCGGCGGAGGGTGGCGTATCCATTTGCGTTGGTGAAGCCCGGCGGCGGCGAAGAAGGGGTGGTGACAATAGAAGAGATCAACAGCAGGCTGTTAATGACACCAACGAGGCCACTAAGACACCCAGTCGGCGACTTCGCGTGTCGGCCATGCGTGACGGCGGCGGGCCGTCCTGGTCTCTCCGGGAAAGCTGTGGTGGCACTTACCAAGATCTATACCCAAGGCGGCAAAGGCACTGTCACCATTATCAGGACCAAAGGTTGATGCCGAATGTCGATACCCTGACCACCACCGCGCCAACTTAGTTCATAAAGAATGACGGAGAAAGAAAGGTGAAAGGATTGTGTTGAATCAAGTAATGATGACGACAGGTCTACTTTTATTATGCTTTAGTATTCACCTTCGAGTTTGGGTTTTTTAAATTTTAATTGAAGGAGATGGATTTCAGGAATGTGTGTATCCTTTTAAATCGATTCTTATTTCTTTTGCAAAACGAATTATACAATGTATGTATTTGGGAGGACCTTTTTCTTTTCTTTTTCTCTAAGATGGTAATGTAAAATAGTTGGTCATCTACATGAACAAGAGGGATGGATGGAATGGAAGGATAGTTAACTATCAAGAGATCCAGACTGGGTTAAAAAGGGACACACAGACACAGGGTGATGGTGGTGAGTGGTGACTCGATCTTTTGTCGTATAAAGATTTCTCTCTTAGATGACTTAGATACGCACGACATATACCTCTGTGCCAGAGTTGTCATAACTAAAAAGACTCTAACACTCTGTTTGGCAACAGGGGTGCAAATTGCAGGGGGTGCAAGTTGAGGGGTTAATTGCTGGGGGGGTATTAGTGGAGAGGTAAATTGTTGTTTGGATGAAAAAGTAGGGGGTGCAAAATGATGTAAAAAAGGGTTTTAGATTATTATATATTAAGAGTAAATATAATAATATGAATGTTGTAGTATACTTATGGTATCTTACTAGTGATAAAATAATACTTATCACTAATACGTATCTCATGAACACCAATTGTTATAAACGCGCTGCTACGGATCGGGAAATTGCCGGAATCGATAAAGCAAGAATACGAGAGCGAGAATCGAAAGAACACAGACACACGATTTACGTGGTTCACTAACACGATGTGTGTTAGCTAGTCCACGGGCGAGAGAGAGCCAGTTTCACTATATCGAGGAGATTACAGATTACAGAGGAGTATGAGAAGTATTTATAGTACTTCTCCATGTGGGTCTAAACCTAATCCAATCTAGCAAAGGAAACGGTTACAGACCAGGCCCAGAACCCGAACCCAAATAACATTGAGCCCATTCAAGTCGTAGCGGCTGATAGTCCGATTCAAGTCATATCAACACCAATCCTTTATGAATAATCATAATAATTATTATATAAAAAATAATTACTAATTATGTGACTTAATACAGGTAGCTAGCTCATGTCATGGATTTCAACATTGATTTGTCGACATAAGGGTTAAAATAACTTAAATAAAAATTAAATTCTTATTTATTATAATAGTTTCTAAATTTTTAGTTCATTTTATCCAACCATACTATAAATAAATTTTTTTTTTAATTTTTTTCCCTACTTCCTCTCAGCCGATCTCCCCTTCCCTCCAAACCAACCCATTTTCTCTCCCCGGTCCCACCCAAAACTTCATTCTTCCCATTTACGCCCCAATTTGGGGGGCATGATCAAATAGTGAAATTGCACCTCTTTTCTACTCCCCCCTACTCTTCATAAAGATCCAAATGGGTGCAATTTTATTGGGACTCCCATTTACCCCCAACAAATGCACCCCCCCTACATTTACCCCTCTAAACAAACATAGTGTAAATGATACTAGCATGGCCCCGGCGGCAAATTGGCAGAAGGTGAGTTATGAAATTTGATAATATAATGTGGCGTAGAGATTATTGTGGTATAGTATTTTTTAAAAACACGTGATAAAGATAGTGAATTTTAGCAGGAAAGAGACATGAATGATGCAATGGAAAAAAAAATCAGCCTTATGAACTAAAATCAAGTACCTGTTACCTTGTGAAACAATATTGTTTCTGATAATATGATGAGGTGGAGTAAGTTTTATAGAAACCGAATTCTAGAAAATCGAATAAAAAATAACATATCCCGCCCATTTTCGGGAAATGAGCATCTCACAATCTTTGCTAGCTTTTACTCAACCTGTTGGCCGATTAATTTGCTTTATAAAACTTTCATCTTGTCAGGCCATGATAAAATTTAGGGCAATGTCTATTTTTTACCCAAACCTTTTTCAGATTCTTTTATTTTAACCAAACCTATAGAAATTCTATTTATTGTCCAAACGTATTATAATTTATCAAAGTCTGGGCATTCATTCTGTTACCGTTACTTATTTCGTCCACGTGAGAGGTGGGATTTTGTTTTTTTTTTATAATCTTTTTATTAAAAATAGTAAATGATGGTATTCTGACCGCCACGTAGGAAGTCAACTCATTATGGTCATACTTAGTCAGCATTACTAACAGAAAAGTTGACGGAGAGTTAACGTTTGGATAATTTTTAGGAATTCAATAGGTTTGGTTAAAATAAAAGAATCTGAAAAAGGTTTGGGTAAAAAATAGACATTGCCCTAAAATTTAAAAAAATCAAGAACGAACAAAACAATTTGGGATATGAACCGTCGTCCCTGTATCCCTAGAAAATGGTGGCAAACACGGACTCACCTGTCTTTTTTTTTTTTTTTTGACAAAAGATATCAGATATATTGATTGAACAAAAAGATCATTACAACCTAGATCGAAGCCAGGCCACAAAATCAAACGAGCGATACACAGTCGGGTACAAAGAAAGGGCCTTTCGAGCCACCATATGGGCTACCCTATTACTAAACCGACCAACAAATCGCACCTTAAACCCTGAGCTCTCCGACAAAATACTTGCAACCTCACGAAAGAAAGCCCCCGCGCGACTATCACCCTCCCTAGCAGAGTTAAGCTTATCAACAACCACCTTAGCGTCTCCCTCAAACCAGACATTCAAGATACCCATCCCTTTGCACCACAGGATAGCCTCCCGCAAGGTCAAAAGCTCAGCCAGCAGAGGGTCATCCACACCAGGGAACTGAACAGCCGATACATTAAGCATCACCCCATCAAGACCCAAGAGAACAACCCCACCAGCCGCATGGGAATCCCGCATGGTCGCACCATGCCAACGACAAACCAATGACCCAGGAGGAAGGGGAGGGACCCCCATATTCCCAGCGGAAGGCCTATGCGCAACCTCGTCCCTTGGGAGAGCAATCCACTCATGGACCTGCTGGCGATATTGCCGCAACAGAGCTGGAAATCCAAACTGCTTGCCTTCAAAGACTAACCAGTTTCTGGATTTCCATATCCGCCAAAGCACCGCTACCAGTTCCATAACCTGTTGAGGGCTCTGGAGAAGAGCCAACAATCTTCGTAGGAACAGTGGAATGTCTGCCGGGGGATACCCTGCCCAAGATGTTCCATCTCAGCAAGATCCCACAAAGCTCTAGCAACCGGGCACTCCAGAAAGAGATGCTCCATGGTTTCTTTAGGAGCCTAGCAAACCGGACAGCGAGGATGCACCGGAACCTTCCTTTCAATAAGCGCCTCAGTAGTTGGGAGAAAGCGATGCAAGATTTGCCACAAGAAGACTTTAAGCTTAGGAGGAATCGGGGCAGACCATAACCGGATCCAGCTCTTTCTATCCATCCAGCTAACTGAGGGGCTCCACCTCCCATGCTGCTTATCAATCAAGACAACAAGTTGATAGGCCGATTTGACCGTGAACACCCCATTACTTGTGTCTAACCAGACAAGCTTATCCTCCACATCCTGACGGGGCAAGGGGATAGCCCTAATAGCCCTGCATATGCTAGGGTGGAAGCATTGGGCAAGTTTGTCATCAGACCACCGCCCTTCCCCAGGAACCATTAACTCCGCAACTTTCAAGTCCGCTCCTGGCAGGAGAATTCGAGGGTTATACGTTGGGAGCTCCGGATGAAGGCTTGGAATCCAACTGGTCGTAAGCGCAGACAATGTCCGCCCATTCACAACCTGCCAACAGAGACCCCCCTCTAATAGCTGGCGACCATAGAGAATGCTCTTGCACCCCCAGGAGGGACGAGAGCGAGAGGTGGCAGACAGAAACGTACAAGTCAGAAAGTATTTGCCCTTGTATACTTGAGCCAGCAGGGATTGGGGCTCCGAAAGGATACGCCACCCGATCTTTGCCAAAAGTGCCTGATTAAAGTGTTCAAAACGCCGGAAGCCCATACCCCCCTCGTGTTTACTACGACACATTTTTCTCCAAGACATCTACCTGATCCGCAAATGCTCATCCTCCACACCCCACCAAAATCTAGCCATAAGCCTGTCCAAAATCCTACATAGGGTGAGAGGGAGCTTAAAACAGGACATAACATGGAGTGGCAAAGCCGAGGCAACTGATTTAATCAGGGTTTCCTTAGCATCCCACGATTGCGTCTTTTTAGCCCGTCTTTGCAGGCGAGCCGCCAATTTCTCCTCCACAACCGGAACGTGGCCAACTTAGAGTGGGCGATGAGTGTGGGAAGCCCAAGATATTTACTTGTACCCCCATCGCTCCCACTCCCAAGAATTGAGCCAAGAATTCCTGATCCTGGATATCGATATTCTTGCTAAAACAGACCGCCGACTTAGCCAGATTGACACGCTGGCCACTGAGCTCTTCATAATCATTCAGCACAACAATTAGATTCTCACATTGTTGCAAATTCCCTTGGAGAAAGAGGTATGATGATGAGGCCAAAATTAGCTCTCAATGATCAGAGTTAGCGGATTAAGAACTTTCTCCCAAAAGAAGGCTCAAAGGAGAAGAACCTTGAGTGAATTGGGTGGAAATCTCATGCAACCCTCACACGGAAAGGAGGCTCGAAGATTATAGTCGAAGCTCGGCCACGATCAGGATGGCAACTGATAGATACAAGCAAACCAAACAACCTAGACGACGCTCTAGGATGCTCTCAACTCAAGCTCGGAAACCGGCTATGGTTGCAATTCAATTGAAACTCCAAAAACTGACTAATACATCATAGACACGAGTTTAAATAGGTGAACTAAACTTACAACACAAGTAAATAATGTCCTAAACAAATCTGACACGAAAAGGAAAGAAATCCCAAAACTGTGAACGAATCCTAATCCGAATAGGATTCGGATTACTTGTTTCTCCAGGCAGCAGCTTCATTGTCGACACGAACTTTTGCCTCCTCGTTCGAGCCCTTCCACGCATCAACCAGATCATCCAATCCCACGACGTTGTATAAGGAAATGCGAGCTCTCATGTGATGTCTTCCTCCTGCTTCGACTCTCCCTCAAGCCCTTCGAATTAAAGCTCAAAGT